TAAAATGAAAATTGAGAGAAAATTCACGCCGGAGAGTGGCAAGAGAGAGGAGAAGGGTGAGAAGCAGCGGAAATCGGAAAAAAACTATCGGATCGGCGAGGCGCCGGCGACTGATACCATGATAATGCTGATAATCGAACACATCGCAAGAGAGAGAGAGAGCGGCGAGAGAGAGATGAAAGAATGCTTAGGGTTTCATAAAACTGAAAAGTGAAGAATAAAGGTACATGAGTGCCCTTATATACTTGGGTCACTTGTGCAAATACTGTAAAATACCTATACTTCTAATGAATAGGAAAGAAACTTAAAAGTGTTTGTACATTGTGTAAAATGATTTGTACATATGTTATTACACCTCAAAAAATAAAACCTTCAATAAAAAAAAGTGGATCTTCCCCGCCAATGAAAAAAACCACGCCGGAAGTTTTCATTTCCACCGCCGCATTTCTCAACTGACGCCGGCATCGGGTAAACCGCCCATCAGCACCCCCCACTGTAAACCCCCGGCGCACGATTTTCCACACCGCCAGCGCCATCACCGGAAAATCCAAAGTTTTCCGACGAAACCCGCCTCCGTTAAAAAGCTCCTTTTATCTTTCTCCCTCTGAATCCAATCAATCCCCCATGGAGAAAGAGCCACTCCTCGCTTACCATAGAAAACCACAAATCACGCCGTCACTGCCACCGCCGTCACTCTGCCCTCTACCCGAACACGATGAAATTACCATTCCGCCCCCGCCCATCACCCCTACATCAAGGGAAGTCAAGGACATGCTGATTTTCGGCTCCCCTTCTTCTTCTTCTTCGTCTTCTTCAAACCCCTTTTTCAAAGATTCTTCAACAAATCTCCTCGAAGCCCTAGCGCTCAGCCGCATATCCCCACTACCTTCCACAGTTAGTATCGAAGGCGATGGGTCGAAATCGAATAATATCGACCCGGAAAGCCAACAAGCTTGGCTGCTCGACCCCAATTATCCACTCTCCAAAAGCAATCTCCACCGATCCAAAACCGCGCCTGCCATGGCCACAATCAACGAAATCGACCACTGTTCTGATGCAAAACCTCCCCAGATTGGTAAGACATCGATCGTGAGGCAAGGCATTGTTCTATTGATCATTTATTTGAGTCTTGGTGTGGTTATATACTCTCTGAACGAGGATAATTTCAAAGCTAGCCAAACTCACCCTGTAGTTGATGCTCTGTACTTTTGCATTGTGACTATGTGTACAATTGGTTATGGTGACATAACTCCAGCTAGCACGGCGACTAAGTTGTTCTCCATCACATTTGTTCTCGTGGGTTTCGGTTTTATCGATATCTTGCTGAGTGGTATGGTTAGTTACATGCTCGACTTGCAAGAAAGTTATCTTTTGAAGAGTATTAAGGGTAGGGGAGCTCGTGACCCGGGTTCTTACATATTTGATGTGAAGAAAGGGAGGATGAGGATTCGGATGAAAGTTGCATTAGCTTTGGGTGTTGTGATTCTATGTATTGGAGTTGGGGCTTCCGTTATGCATTTTATCGAGAACTTGGATTGGTTGGATTCTTTCTATCTGTCGGTTATGTCGGTTACAACAGTTGGATATGGTGACAGGGCATTCACTTCCTTGCCCGGACGAATTTTTGCTTCTATTTGGCTGCTCGTGTCTACACTTGCTGTTGCTAGGGCTTTTCTGTACTTGGCCGAGGCAAGAGTTGACAAGCGTCACCGAATGATGGCAAAATGGGTGCTTGGCCAAGATATGACTGTGGCCCAGTTTCTTGCGGCTGACATAGATAACAATGGTTTCGTGTCGTAAGTTATTTGATTTTTGCTCGTGTAGAAGCAGTTATTATCATTCTTGCTTATTATTTATTATCGTAAGCACTTATTATCCATTTTGAACCGTGAAGTCTGAGCGTTCTTGCAATGAGTTAAGTTGTGTTCTTATTTGTGATTAAGAGTTCTCTCAGTAGTTTACATTGACTGTATTGAGTAAGAACTTAGACCATATGTGATGAAACTAGATAATGTGATTTTTTGCATGGTGCACCATAAAGGAATTTCTTCCTATTCATGTGTCATATCTTTTTGTGGATTCTCAAGTAAATTATAATTTTAGTCACGTATGTTGCACTATTTTTACTTTTTCGACTTTTTCGAATTGTTTTTTTGATTTCGTCCCTTATGTTTGCAAAAAGCTTACAAAAAGGTCATTTTCGCAACAAAAAAGGTTCCTTATGTTCTCGAAAAAGAGTTGCAATTTCGTTTCTTATGTATGCTCGGGGACATACTGGGTATGTTGATGTTGATGTTGATGTATGCTCGGGGACCTTTCTATAACCTTTTTGCCTTATAATAAGGGACCAAAATCAAAAAAGCAATTCGAAAAGACAAAAAAGTTAGGGTAGTGAAACATACCAGACTAAAATTGCAATTTACTCTTCTGTTACTTGTCTTATTGGTCATTTTAAGCAAGATAGTTAAGAGGAACCGGGAGGACAGATAAGTTTTATGAGACGCAAGAGATGTTTTATTTGCTAAAGTTTTAGATGAAAGGATTGTACAATTATAGAGGCAGAATAGTAAGTGAACCTTTTGGGTGTGTGTTTTTTCTTGGGTCATACATTCCTCATGCAAGTGATTCCTTTAAATGCTCTTATCTCTTATGTATGTGTTTGCTAATTTGTCATGCCATGTCAGCAGAAAATCGGAATATGTTGTTTATAAGCTCAAGGAGATGGGCAAGGTTTCGGAAAAAGACATCTTGCAGATTTGTCAACAATTTGAACGGCTCGATTCAGGCAACTGTGGTAAAATCACTCTTGCTGACCTTATGGAACATCATCACTAATCAGAGAGGATTGTTGTTCTGTGGTAAAAACTCTACAAAACAGAGAACGAATATGTTTTGTACTAAATTTTGCACACGGTAATGTGATGGAGCAAGAGCAATCAGATGCTCCGTGCTCGGCTATTTATATAAAGAAAATTCGTAGTGAAGCAAAAATGACTCAATTCTCTTCTTTTTTTTTTTTTTNTTTTTTTTTTTTTTTTTTTTTTGGCATTGGATTTTTAGGAATTTATATTTGTATTTGTAAGAGGATAACTCATTAATAGTTTATTTTTTCTAATTTTTTGTAATAATATATTTGTATTTGTAAAAGAAAATAGGCATTTTTTTTTTATTTTATTATTTGTTATTTTTTTATAGGAATTATATATATACATCCTAAAATATAAGAGCAATTAATGCATAAATAAATTAAATATACTTCATTTGTACTCCACATAGTTATGTACCTAAAATATCATCCGTAAAAGGCAGTTGTTTCACATGTTGCATCACTTTAAATCTAACGGCTATCCTTATTAAATATTACCTAATTAATCACGATAATCATGTTTTTTTTGAGGTAACATGATTGATTAACTATAAGTTTCTAACAATAATTTTGATATGATTGTTAATATAAATATACCGTATAAGTTAGGTATCATATTTATAATTGTAAAGTATCATATTTCCTATACACTTGTTTATATTTGCAAATAATAAAAATTAATCCAATAAAAAAACATTTTATTGAAAAAAAAGAGGGCTCCTGTTTAATAAAATTCAAATAATTAATTAATAATAAATTTAAATTTTGTTATTATTCGTATTTTTATTAGACATAAATATTTACATAGAAATAAAAATTTATAAAAAAAATTATCTATAAATTACTTACAAAAGTGTATTATTTTATGTCGGTT